TCTCCAGTTTTTTTTAACCGGTTGACAATATCATATACAGTAGAGCTTGGATAACCAGTTATTTTAATTATTTCAGAGGGTTTTCGTATGTTTTTAACCCATAATTCCTTTACAGTCAAACATTTTGTTTCAAAAACTGAAATGGGCGCCATGGATTAAGTTTTTTGTTGATAAATAATCACATGAAATTTTTGTGGCGTTATTTTTATATCTATAAATAGCTAATTAATTGCTATTTTTGATTTTTGTTTTGGTCGGACGTAAATTGGCGGTATAGGGCTTTTTTTGTGCTACCAATAAAATTCCAGATATTTATGTCGCGGACTGTAAATACCAGTTAAGTCTAACTTCTTTGAGGTTAGATTTAACATATGGATACTAAAAGTTAGACTTAGTGACTTATGAAATCAGATATGAATCAACTTTTGAATTAATTCTAAGATATTATGAAATATAGTATGCATTTTAGGCTTGCATGGTCAGGCCCAGCTCAAATCATATTACTTTATTCTTTAATTTTTGATAGCCCCTCTAGAGGCAAACAGAATAGATAAATTTTTTTTGATATATTATTTGGGATTAAAATCAGACTAGAATAGCTATATCAAATAGTGTAATTCTTGGTATTTGAAGGACTAATTCCTAGCCAAGTTTAATACCAACATCTTTGATAACTAGATTTGAGCCAAATCGTGTAGAAAGTTTAAATTCAATAATTGATTCATATAGCTAGAATTGATTTGCAGGTGATCAGAAATCTTTTTGTATACTATTTTGAAATTTTGTTCCAGAACTCCCATTTTGGCCCTACTCCAATGCTTCTGATAATTTTATTTTTAGAATGGCTAATTTTTCACAAAAATATTAATGCAAATCTGTATGATATTTTTTATAAATACCTTGTCTATTTTTTCCTTTTACTTTCGATCCTTATTAAAGAGAAATTTTAATTATGTTACAATTTTAAATCAAACTACATCACAAATGAATAGAATTCCTACTTTCTTATATGTTCAAAGCAAAAAAAATTCTAATGTCTTTTTACCTTTAGTCTAAATATGATAAGTAGTTTACAGCATTTTATAGATAGATATTCTAGTTTTTTCTTTCAGCCTACAGGCATCTTTCTTTAAATACAAATGAAATAAGTAAATAGAAATGAAAGTGGATTTTATAATATAGTTATTTATATATTTTACATACATAATAGCAAAACTATTAAACTATTATTTCATTATAATTTTATCAATAAAAGACTTTCTTTTTCACTTATGAAAAAATATTATTATTATTATTGTCTGAAGCATAGCAGAGGACATTTTACTTCTAGGTCATTTAAATGCAAGGTCATTTTGTCTGTCTAAATTTGGCAAGCCTGATAACCAATAATATTTTGTTTACATTATCACATGTTATGTCTTTTGTATTACAAAATAATTAATCATGTGAAATATGATAATATAATTTATATACCATACCATGCTTCGTACTTTAAACGGATCCTGTTCTCTAGTTTATTATTTAAATATGTTGCGTATATAGGATTATGAAATTATGAGAATATGCTAACTTTTTTCATCTTTAGATATTAGCATTATGCTAGATTTTAACTTTTCTTTTTTTTTAGAAATAGGAATATGAGTATAATATCATTTTCATAATTATTTCAGACCTGTATTTTTGTATTTTAATGCAGATTCTTTCTTTTAATTATACTAACATTAATGAATAATTCTTTGTCATATAATTGACTATAAAATGTATAAAAGAAATGTAGTTCTGATCACTAATTTATTTATTTGCAAAATCTATAAGAAAAAAGATTTTAATTAATTAATGTTATACAAAAATAAAATAATATAAATATCTTAAATACAAATTTTTTATATAAAGGATATACATTTAAAAAGATAGAGAATAGGATTACTCTTTAAGATTTACTAAGATAATGAGATTAGAATTAGGATTAGAATTTTTTGATAAATTACTAATAAGGTTACTCTTATTAAGAAATATATGTATTTGCTTAATTTGAACAAGCAGATCTGTTTAAAATAAGTATTTCTTGCAAAGTATTTTAATAATATAAATAACAATTAATTAATTATAAAATAATATAAAAAAATAATAATTAATGAATAATACTTTATTAAGAATATGATATATTAAATCCAATCAAAAAAATACATGATGGATGTGACTCAGTGTAACAGATTATTATATAAGTCACATGACCCAAGCTTATCCGCAATATAATTAAGTCACATGCAATCATTATGATCCTTTCCTTAAATATAATTGGTTCAAAAATGATTATCATCTTCGTGTAACATTTATCTGTGAAAATAATAATTTCTCACGTGTAAAGATTAATTTTTAAAGTTTGATTTACTGTGAAATTTTTTTTTATTAATGTACAAGTGTTCCCATACCTGCTGAATAATATACTTCAGCATTATTCGCTTATTCGTTTGACCAAAGCACTTAAATTACGTTATGAAATCTTTATACATGAAAATATCCACAACACCTGAAGTCCTGAACTGTTGTTGAAATATTTATTAGCTTTATTGATTAAGAAATCATGATTTAAGACATGTAAATGGGAAAAAAATATAGAAGAGACAATGAAAAACGATATAATTAATGTGGCTAACGACGATGAAGCAATCAAAATTTGGGGTCTAGGATATTATCCTAGACACCGGGGTCCAGGTTAAGATTCCCCAAATTTTATATGTCCTATGTCACCGTGAAGATATATATTTATCCGCAGCAAGTTTTATTTTTTTAAATTTTTTATTTTTAGAATCGTAGAATCGGTAGATTCCTTACATAATTTTTCTCATAAATTTGTACATAAAAAACGAAAAGAAAAAAGAATAAACATGAGTTGAAAAGGGGAAACTAATAAAATTTGTTGTTGTTGAATTTTTACTACATTGAAAAAAAAATATACATTTATAAAAAAAGAACAAAAAAAAAAAATTATTCACAGTTGATAACTCTCATCTATAAACAACGGTGGTAATTCACCGTATTGTGGAAAATCGAAAAATTCATTTATCAATGAGTTATCCATCATATAATCCTCATCATTTGGAAATGAATTATATAAAAATGGCGAGAAATAATCATCATCAAAAGATACGGAAGCTAGGGGAGATTCAACCATTTGTGGGGGGGTGTCAATTGATTCGGTGTCAACGGAATCGGTGTCAATGGAATCAGTATCAGGGGAATCGGTGTCAAGTGAATCGGTGTCAAGGCATTCAGAATATTCAGAATTACTCGTAATACCTGATTCAGGTGATTCAATAATAAAACTTAGAGGAGCGGTACCATAATTTTCGTTGTTGGCAGCAGCAGCTGTTGTTGATGATGATGCGGTGGCATTGACAAACGGAAGTTCGTCTTCCGAAATTGTCATATTCAATCCTCTAACCCTGTCGAAAGACGATCGATACGACGACATTAATTTAAGCTTTGCGGCTTTTCGATCCCAATGCTGCTTAATTTCCGGTGGCTCGTTCTTCCACATTTTACCGATTTTCGTTGACAATTTTCGCATATCGTTTGGATGTTCAGGGTCATTGAAAAATAGTTCTTGTATATGTTTGCGATATAACATGAAGCGATTAGGCGTCCTATGTGGTTTTTTTGATTTTAGTTTATCTTGATCGCGTTTAGCCCTTCTACGCGCGTTTCTGTTTTTTCTTTGAATTATTGCTTTCTTTTTCACTTCAGACATTTTAACCTAAAGGGGGTTATTTTTATTTTTTTAAAAAAAAAAATAAAGAAATAATAAAGAAATGTGAAATTCTTGTCGGGTTTTCTTCAATTCAAAATTATTGAGTGAATAAAAAAAAAGTAGAGATTAATTTTTTTTTTCGTTATGGGATTTTTAAAGATAATTTTTTTTTTTTAATGGAAGTGCAAACTTCGAAGGAAATCTGAAAGGCAGTTTAAGACCATTTTATACCTTTTGATTTCATTACAAGGGAAAAATAATTCACGCGAAATATATTCGCCAACAAAACATGTGAAAAGGCATAAAGACAAAAAAAATAGATAAAAGATAAAAAGAATAATTGAATTGTTTTGCATTCCATCAAATATTACTAAACATGGTAAAATTAACTATTTCTTTTGCTTCTTAATTTAGAAAGGTACGAATTGAGAAGGTGAATTTTATCCAACAAGATAAGAATAACTTACATCATTGTTCTCACGGAAATATTTAGACATATTTAAATGACTAATGAAGTATTATAGAACTTATGTAATGCAAATTTTAACATGCCTTTGTTCTAATTGAAACTTCACGGCTGTAACGGAGTCCTTAGGACCGCTACGCTAAAATCAGAAAGGAAAGTGGAATGAGAAAAAAAAAGCAGGTGTACTGCAAAACAATAACCTTAAATACGCTTATCTGTAATTATGCATGGATTCTTTTTTTTTTACAAGTTGTGACACGTTAATATCTTATTATGAGGTTTCTTTTTACTTGAACACTAATACTTTTAAGGGTCCTTAGAATCCGTATTCTTGATTTCTGCGCCACCAATCAAACATTCCATCCTATAGTGTCCAGTTGTTTACTGTGTTTCTTAAATTGTAGCGGATGTGCGGTGTGACATTGTGCCACCTATTATCGATATTTGGTACCAATTTATTTCTCGAATAGTAAACAAAAGAATATAATCCTATATATTGTATGGCGTCTTGTGTAGCGTTGGTCATTTATTTATTTTAAATTTTTTTTTTTTGAAAACTATTCTAAATTTAGAATCAAAGAATTGGTAAGTCATTGTTGTTGTTACATTGTGTAATGCCCTAATTCAAAACATTTCCTCTTGTTTTATTATCTTATCGAAAAAAAAAAAAAAAAAAAAATTTGCAAAAATGACGCTTGATATAAAAGCGAAGTAACGAATCTTTTATTTTTATCATTTATTTTTGATTAGAGAAATCATATGTTATAGTAATCTAGAGAATTTCCTTATAAAGGAACCTTTTCCATGTTGTTAATCATGTGAATCTTAAAAATTTTAATATGAATATAATTGGTATAATTGAAATTTTTGTTTTGATTGTTCAAAAGAAATTTGATTGACAAGGTACAGTTCATTGAAAATATGTATTAAAAAAAAAAACAATTATCAGTTTTATTTGATTTAACCAATCAGAAGCAAAAGATTAATCGATTTCGAAAAGGTACAAAAATAAATCAACCTCTTTGTTGTAATCCAATTGGATTTCTGAAATGAAATTTTGTTTCCAAACCGCGAATTCGGTGCATAGTTAGTTAATAAAAAAAATTTATTAATTACTATCCATTTTATTATGATCTTAATTTATTTCAATTCTTACAATGTCATATTGCACTTACTAAAGATTACTTCATAATCCCTTTGGTTTAAAAATATTGTTGAGAAGTAAGTTATAAAGAAATATTATTATTAAAAGGAAAATTCAATGATTCAAAAAAATCGAAATGAGAAGTGCTAGATCTCGTTGGTTGTTTTGGAAGTTGATGATGGTAGCATTACAAAGATGCAAAATCCTTTCACATCCTATCGATTTTCTTTGACAAATTCCGCACGTCGATAGGGATAGTCATAAACTGATTTTTCTATCCTCACGATGATCGATGAGTCTTTTAAGCGCTATATATGGTATGTTTTCTGTCATTTTTTAACTTTAAAAAGTGAACAAAACTTTAAAAGTTTTTTTCACTCTTCAAATTCGAAATTTGAAAAAAAGTGAGAATCTCGTTGGGCGTTTTAACCGTTTTAACCCCATATTTATATAAATTTCCGTATAGGAAAATTTTTCACGAGATTAAAATATGTTCCAAGAAATATCCGAACGCGGTATTATTACCAAACGCCTTTTTATCTGATAAGGTAAAAGAATCATGACATTACATTATTCATTCTCACAGAAATTTTGAAATGACAAATGAGGTTTCATCAATTTCAATGTATACCAAAAAAGGTCTTAAATGGTTCCTTTTGTCCTCATTGAAATTTCGAGATCAAAGCAAGCTAGTAACACGTTATCAATCTTAACTATCACGAGAATTATTATTTTTTTTTTATAAGGAAATTCTATCTGGATTCATCTTTTCAAACTATTTGCCTCTTTCATAATAACAAAGATATAAAATGAATCCTATCATAAATTTTTTAGGGCCCTCAAAAAAGGTGTTTTAAAAAAAAATTTTAGGATTTATAACGTAAATATGTATTTTTTCTTAATAATTTTTTTATTCCTTATTTTTAATTAATAAAAAAATTTCGAAAAAATTCTAATAATATTCTCTAGACTGTTAAACTTTTTTAAATCATTTTTAAGAAATGAGATCATTACTAATGCGGACAAGTAAGATCCAATCAATAAAGGAAATAAATGTTATTTTTTTAAAAAAAAAGATTTAAAATTAAAATATTACAATATACACGAACAAAATATCTAAACTGTGAAAGTCACCAAATGAATATCGAAGTACATTTCATGTATATGAAATCCACTTTTTTTAATAACGTAATGCCTGGCCCATTACTTATTATAACAATAACAAAAGCAATTGTAGCAATAATTTTTAAGAAAATTTTATATTAAATTTTTAATTGACAACTATTGATTCGAGTGCTTTATAAATTTCTTAAATATTGCATTATAAACTCGGTTGATTTAAAAGATCAAATCATGAGATTACAATTCTTTTTTAAATTAATTCTTCATTAGCAATTTTAATTAATTGGTAAATTGAATACCATACATACCATACATACCATCAAGATAACAAAATAGATGCATATATTTGTTTAGCTACAATTTTTAATAAAGATCTATTACAATAAACTTCAATATGAAAGTTAATAATTGCTTATAAATAAAAAATTTGTTCATACTTTTAATTTAAATATGAAATCAGTTTGATTTTTAGTTATTTTAAATAAGAAAGATTTTTTCAGAAATAATATATGGTTATCTAAATCAAGAAACCATAAATATCAATAGGTAAAAAAGAAGAATTTTAAAACAAAAATCTAAGTATAAGATACAGAAAGGCATTCTAATATATCTCAAAATCAGTTCTAAATATATATTACTAGTATTATTCTAAGCTAGAACTCAAATTCTACCATAATCAGATGTATAAATAACTTATTCCAAATATTTTCCAAAGTTATATAATAGCAATCATTAAAATTTTTAATATTCAATAGATTCAATAGTAATACTAATTTTGATTACCTGCATAATTTTAAGTTTATATAACATATAAATCAGGTATTGATGATTAATAAACTTACATTACAAAAGGACTTTTTTGTTTGATAAGTAATATAAAATAATTTTTGCATTAATATTAGCATAGATCAAAGTAAAAATATGAAAAAATAGCATTTTATATTCATAGTAAACTTGCGATAATTTATTAAATTAAAAATATTATGAAAATAAAGATTTAAATAATAAAAAAAGATCATAACTAAAAAAGATTGTTAAAATTAAAGATGGTACAGCAATTGATTTCAAATTTACAAAATGTTGCAACATAAGCTAAAATTAGTTGCAACATATATAGGTTAAAACTAATTGCAACGTAAGTTGCAACATTAAAAGTTGTAACATATTAATTACAGTTCCTATCTTTAGTTAAAATGGTAAAGTAAACTATAATATAACTAGTAATATTATATAAAAGGAATTTAAAAAAGATGTTAGAGTTAATTTATAAATAATAAATGTCATATTGGTGAAAATTTACAAGAAAATCTTAAAATTACTGCTTTTAAAAATGTATTGAGTTAATCAATTAATATGGATAAAAAATCATTAAAATTTTTGAATGGAATAATATTATTTTTATAGATAAAGTAACTTTCAATTATATCCTTAGCTGTGTTTTAATAACTATTACTTTGTACTATTGCAAAGCAGGATATTTCAGTTCAAAAAATGTATTATCTATTCCTTAGAATTCTGCTATATTATTCCAGTATTATTAAATCTCAATAAGAAAACTTCTCAATAGTTTTATATTATTTAAATAAAAAAATTTAGCAATTTATTAGATGATATTATCTAACTATTAGTTAGGAAAACTGAAACATATAATCAATTAAGTAGCAGTGAGATTTAACTTAATCTTTACAATAAGTTAGAAAAGACTATAATTGATACTAGTATTTGTTTATGACCAAGTTTTTGAATTAGCAAGTATATAGACTTTCAATATATTATGTTTGACTTATAATTTTCTCTAATATTAGGAAATACTCTGGTATAGTTATAATAGATATATTATAATCAAATTAGTAATGTATAGTTTAAATATTTCATAATATTAACACTTTAAGTTCATTAGTGATTTTAAACATGATTGATTATATAAAACAATTATTTGACTCAAAATAAGTTGGTAACGTTAAACACAGTTGATACAAAGTAAGGTTGATATAAAATAAGGTTAATACAAAATAGATTATTTATATAAGACAATTTAGCAAAGAATTTTATTATTTTATAAAATTAACTTCCTAAATTTCTATCGATACATGATAAAAACTCAGCTTATTTATAATAAAATTTCTACATTAAATTACTATCTATTGCATAAAAACTATGTAATAATTAGTATTCTGAATAATACAAGTCGATCTGGATTAATTTGACCTGATCTGACTTTTAAGTCAGGTCAGTATTATGAATTTTGATAGCCTATAATCTGCATGACCTGACCCAACAGGTCGGATCATTCATCTTCTTGACCCAGGTTTTGATGTGAATCTACCTGATAATTATTGGTTTATTTTGATTATCCAAATCTTTTTTTTGTTCCTTTCTTTATTAAGACTAAATTACTAAGCCGTCTTTTTATCTATTACTAATAATCTTATTATAATGACTGTTGACCTAACTGAACCAATAACTCCACTAACTCAATATCTTGAGAAAAGAAAGCCTTTGTATATTGAGCTTTTTACTAAAGATCTCTTTGAGAAAAAAATCTTTCACAAGATCATGAAAATGCAAAAACTTATCATGAAGTTCGGTGTCTTAATTGTTTGTAAGTAAAAATTTATCATGACATATTGAAATATCTGCTAAGTATTGACTAAATACTTTTAAAATTTTAGGAAAAAGAAAATTTGGCTTCATAAAATTGATTCTAATACAATTAATCTTTGGCGTCATATAAAAGTTCATCATCTAGAAAAAGATCTAAGGCCTAACAAAAAAGCAAAAAAATCAGTAGCAGAAGATCAAAATACATTAGATAAATTCATAGGTCAGATAAAGATTCCTTTTAAAGCAAGTATAATTAAATAATTAGAATTTTATATAAGTTATAAAATTAAAAAAGAATTTAGATTTCTTGGTTATTATTTTTTTATTTACTTTATTCTTATTCTCAAGTTTATACAAATAGACTTTTGTAAGTTTTTTACTAAATGAATAATTGCTGATGATTAACTATTCATAACAGCATAAAATAAGAATTTTTAAAATATGATAAAGATTTTTAAATTCAGATGCACTGATTTTTAAAGCAGATATAATCAAAAACAAAGTTTAAAAGAGGAACGAAAAAAAAAAAATTTTTTGGTAGCTATTAAAAGATGCAGTCTTAATTTAGATACAATTAGTGCATGCATGTGCTTAAAGTCCTAGCAGCATAAAATAAATTTTTGTTAATTAATAAATTTTAAATTTTAATGTTGATATTAATTGAATATACTGTACATATATATTTTTTAATGAATAATATCTTTAAATTCGCGTCGTATTAATAATTTGTGTGACCTACTTAGCAATCATTTTCATTGACTTGTAGATCAATTTTTTAGAGTAAAAAATTCAAGTCTTGACTCAGGTTTATGGGTTAAATTATACTCAGGTCAAGTTAAAAATGAGGGACGAAACTCAAAAAAGGCAATTAATAAACAGCTGAAACTATATTAAAACATAGTGAGGGTACGACAAAACCCTGAAACCTGAAATTAGCCAAAACTATATTAAAAACATAGTAAGGGATATAATGAAATTATTTTGAGGGAGTTTCGGCTGGCATCTTTAGGTCAAGTCGATTCAGTTTATGAAAAATTTGTGATTCAAAATACTTATGAGTTTTCCTTTTTCATTCAGATTAGGTCAAATATATTTTTAAAACCTGACCTGACTTGACTCGTTAGAAGCACTAGTAATAATTCTCTCATTTCTCTATATAATAGTCTTTATTTATAATATATTTGTATTTAAAAAGATATAATTATATTGTTTTTTAATTATTACTACATATTAATACTTAGCTTTTAACTAGTTTCTTCTTAAAGTTTTCTTTTAGAGTTTTTAGTTTAAAAGGTTATGCATATTATTATAGTCTAATGATCTATTACTTCATCTTTTTATTAATTGATTTGGTTAATTTCATAGATCATCTGTATAGATCATCATATCATAGATCAATTTTTGTGATCTATATATTGATCATATTGTAAATCATTTCTGTACCAAAATTTTCTGTTTCTTTAAAGATCATTTGAGTTATATTCTTCTTTCTTTAATTTTTTTTTTCTAGAAGAAATTCTTCAATAACTATCCATGATTCTAATATTTTCTCATAATAGGTCTTAAATCTATTTCCATATAATGAAATTTCAATAAATTTTCTCCTTAACTTATAATTATTCTTTTTATAAATTTTGTGAATAAAGTATGATTCAATCTATTTTGCTTCTAACTTTACTGAGAAATTATTTTTTAAGTACATCTGATGCAATAGGATTTTGTCTCCTATTTTAAAACATTTTTCATTTTTATATTGCTTATTATATAGGAGGCAGTCAGTAGAAAAGGGAGAAATTTAAATTTTGATCAAAATTTATATTATTAGACTACTTGGCTAATCTTGATTATGTGCAGAAATTTGGCTTAATAATAAAAATTAACAAAAATTTTGGATTTCTCCTTTTTCTACTGACTGCTTTCCATATCTTAATTTTTTATTGCACTTCATAAGAACTATTGTTTTTCATAATTTCTTGAGTTCTTTTGAGTATTGCATCCTTTCCTTCTTTATCATAAGTTACTACCTTTAAATTAATTGGTAAAGATCTATATAGTGAGGTTAATCAATATTTGGTCTGCTAATCCTTACATAACTCATTTATCTATTAATTATCAAATTCAATACTTCTGTTCGTTAAGATCTTCAAGTACTTTATATTTACAGATAACTTCTTTAAATATAAATTCTGCTATGTCATAGTTTTTATTTACTTTAAAGGCTTTGTTTCTGGCTATTTTATAAGATAATTCATAGCTACTATAAGATATTTGTTTCCTCCTATTGTTACTGATAGAAATACTTTTATATCTATACCAATCCAATTCAGTTAAAAGGTTTCTTTACTAGTATTAGATGAGATCCTTTTATTCTTTTAGGTTTTTCACTTTTTTTTTGCCATGTATCATAATATTAAATATATTTTCTAATGCTTTCATATATTTGTGACCAATAGTATCTTTTTTTAAGCTTCTTATATATTTCTAATGATATCTTTATGTAGGTTGAATAATATTAATTCAATTTATTTGAGTAATAAAACTCATTAAGGTTAGTAATTTTTATGTTGTCTAAATAAAATTTATTTTATTATAAAATATTTGTTAAATTACTTTTTAATTTGGGATTTCTATTATTTATTTGCCTTTTCTAAGTATGTGAGAATTGTTAAATATTTATAAATATCATAATATTCATTTCTTATGATAATGGATTGTTATATTTTCCTTTTTGTGAATGATTTCATAGTTGTAGTCTTACAGAATCATTCTTCATTTTGAATGTCATCTATTTGTATTTGGTTATTATTTAATAACCATATCAGTACATTATGATTAGTATAAATCTTGAAGTTTTTATTATGTAAATATACTTGAATTTTCCTAAGGTTCAGATTATAGTAAGAATTTTTAAATTTGTGGTATCATAGTTTTGTTTATGTTTATGCAAGGTTCTGCTATCATAAGTAATAAGATGTTCTTTTCCTTACCATTCTTTTGAGATAATATACTACTCCTACTACTATTTTTGATATACTGTATTAGTTGTCAAGATGAATATTTTTATCCAAATCTGAATATGATAATACTAGTTTCTTTATCAAGCATTCCTTTAGTATTTCAAAGAATCTTATTATGATTCATCTCATTAATACTATTCTTCTATTTCTAATTGTTTAAATAGTGATTTTACAGTTCTAAAAATTCTTTAATAAATTTTCTGTAATATATGGTTATCCCAATAAATCTTCTGAGTTTCTTTTGATTTCTTAGCTTTAAATAATCCTTGATTTAATTAATTTTTCTAAATCTGGTTTTATTTTATCTAACTCCTATTATATATCTAGGAAACTGAACTTCTCTTGATGCAAAATGATATTTGTCAGAATTTATTTTTAGTTCTGCATTTCTAAGTTTAGATAATATTTCTTTTATGTGTTCCACATATTCATCCTATGTTTTTGAGTAAATAGTTATATTATCAATATAGTCTAAGGTAAACTTCTATAATATATTTCTTAACACATTATTCGTAAGCCTCTGGAATGTAGCTAAGGTATTGCATAGTCCAAATGGCATAACATTATATTCATACAATCTATATTTGATAATGAATGCTATTTTCTCCTCATCTTCTTCTACAATTTTTACCTGTTAATATTCTAATGCTAGATTTATTAATATGAACCATTGTGCTTCTTGAATACTATCAATAATTTCATAAATAAGTGATAAAAGATATTTGTCCTTTTTTTGTTATATTATTCAGTTTTCTATAATCTATACAAAATCTTGTTTTGCTATTTTTCTTTTTAACAAGAATGACTGATAAGATCCAAAGACTATTAGTTTGTAAAATTTGTTCCTTTTAGAAAAAAAACTCTTTCTGCTGATTTGCTTGACATGCCTCAGCAAACAAAAAATAATAAATTTTAACAACAACCCAAACAAGAAAGCCTAATGTGGCCTTTCTAGCTTGCCAATTAATGAAAAAACATCAAAGAAACTTCAACTTGATACCCCAGAATTCTCCAAACCTATTTCCAACAATGACACTAAAAAAATACGCTAAAAGATATTGAAATGGAAGTCAACCCAATTCCTTCAACTTTCAATAACAAAGAAAAATAAACTGAAGTCCCTATCCTACCAATTGCTGCCTACAGTGAAGATAAAAGTTTCAACACTTCTGAAAATTTACTTAGACCTGAAAGAAATAATAATATTATCAACTTCCTTTGAAAAGATAACTCTCCCCTATTTTTTACCTACTATGCTAGTGAAAAATTTCTCTTTAGACATCCAAACAAAGAAAAATTAACTCGACTAATGAAATTTTTAATGGCTTATACCTACTGTCTTTTATTAGTATATCAGTTTAATCACGTTCTGATGATAAATAAACCAAAGTAATTAGAATTAGTTTTTCAACTTATGCTGATTTCGACTATACTACCACAATGCAGATCACCCAATTAGGGAATAAAGCTTTCCTCCCTTTGTTAATAAATAAAATAGCAAAATTCACCTCTGAGTTATCGATCAAGATCACAGAAATCCTGATCTCTACACTCATCCAAAATGTTAGATCATCCTTCTTTTTTTTTGACAAAATAATATACTGCATCATGTCTACTAAAAATTTATGCCAGCAAGCCATGATTACGTTTGAAGAAGATATTGACATATTATAATTAAATAATGTATATGACTATTTCGTCCTCAAATACATAGTTCAAATCTACCATTGTAACCTTACAAACATTAATATTAGAGAAAAATCAAAGTTCTCACTTAAATTTTACAAATCTCCCAAAGGATACAAATGGAAGGCAATTAATCCCTATTGAAAAAGTAGTCAAAGCTATAACATTTATCATATCAAAGTCTAAATCGAATGTAAAACATATTTAAGGTTTGGTAATTTATGAAATTTACAGAATTCAGATAATATAACGCTACAGTCTGAAATACTTATTCATAAAGTATTATGATACTTGGTATTTTTAACATTTGATTTCATTGTCAATATTCACAAATTTAACAAAAAAAAATACCAAAATGAAAATGATCGAAAAAAATGACAAATCTATTTTATACTATCAAATTGTCATTATTATACATAATCAAGATAATCAATACTTAATTAGATTAGAATTTTTAATTATGATTATGTGATAAATTAAAAAGGTAAAATAATATTAATTTGTGTAACTATTTGGGTATTGCAATACTATTACAAATTTTTTTTAAAAAAAAAATTT